GAGAGAGAGAGAGAGAGAGAGAGAGAGAGAGAGAGAGAGAATATATTTTAGAAACTAAGAAGAAAGAGAGAGAATATATATTTTAGAAACTGAGAAAAATAGTTTGGTTTGTGAGATAGGAGAAGACCCAGGAGAGAGTGGAGGTAGAATTCCAACAGGCAGGAATCCCATTGGGTGACCAGTCACACTGGTTTGCCTGGAACTGTCCCAGTTTTAGCACTGAAAGTCCCATGTCCCATGAACTCTGTCAGTCCTGGGTACACTGGGGCGGTTGGTCCCCCTAGAGTCAGTAGTGTTGGCAGAGCCGTTGCAATAGGGAGTGTAGTATGAGAGACAGCCACTGGAACTGGAACCTGGGAACACTAGCAGCTGTAGCCAGAGCTGTTCCAGAGGGTGGTGGAGGCAGAGGCCGGGCTTCCAGAGGGAAAAATGAGGATGGCAGAGGAGGAAGAATGGAGAGTGCCACCAACCCTTTTAAGAGGGCTCACCAAGAAGGGAAGGAGACACAGGGGTTGTCAGCAGGTGGGCTATGCAGGATCAAAGGAGGGCGTTTTGTTGTTTGGTTTGCTTTCAGAATAGGAAGAACTTGAGCAAGTTTATAGGTTTTTTTAAGGTAGATGTGAGTGATATGGTTTAGCTGTGTACCCACTCAAATCTCACCTTGAATTGTAATAATCCTCATGTGTCATGGCAGGGACCTGGTTGGAGATAATTGAATCGGGGGCAGGGCTTTCCCACGCTGCTCTCATGATAGCAAGTAAGTTTCACAAGATCTGATGGTTTTATAAAGGGCAGTTCCCCTGCACACGCTGTCTTGCCTGCTGCCATATAGTACGGGCCTTTGCTCCTCCTTCCCCTCTGCCATGATTGTGAGGCCTCCCCAACCATGTGGAACTGTGAGTCCATTAAACCTCTTTCCTTTATAAATTACCCAGTCTTGGGTATGTCTTTATTAGTGGCGTAAGAACAGACTAATACAGTGAGACAGCAAGATTGAATACTGGAGAGAAAAGGGCACATTCTATGGAACTGGCAGCAGAAGCTCATAGGGTAGAAATCAGAGGAGCAGAAGAAAGACAAAGCTTCTGGGCACTGGTGTAAATTCTCTTGCAGCACAAGGGAAAGTTTGGGGGTCCATACGTGGTTGCCTCTATTTCCTTAAATAAGTTGTTGAGAGTGTGTGTATTAGGGGGTGGGCAGTGACGGGACAGAGAGGAGAGCCAACCTTGAATGAGCAAAAGGCTGTCAAAGCTGAGGGCAGAGGTCATGAACCAGGCTGCCCAGTGCCGTGTTCTCTAGCAGCAGTTATTGAGCTTGGTGCAGGAGCAAATAGGACCAACCGAGGCAGGTGAAGCAGGAGTGCATGGTTGGTGAGGAGGTGGAGGAGAATGTGTTGCAGGCAAGCCAACCACTGGGCTGAGCTTGGGTAGCAGGGAAGGAACAGAAAAAAGTTGCTAGATTGGAGAGAGTTGGGGAATCAAAGGCAAAGGAAATTATGGGTAGACCCATGATTTTCCCCTGGACCAGAATGGCCTATAGTGGTGGTACTACGCTGCTTGTTTGCCCTTGAATAAGTAATTTTATATCTCTGGGCCTCAGTTTCCCCTTCTGTGAGATTATGTAATCACTATGGTATTCTCCAACTCTAATTATGTATGATTGTGCAAACCTGTATTTTCCAGCCTCTTGGGCCTCTGGGTGAGGCACTTTCTGAATCTTCTATACTGGAGCTGCAGAGCCAGATTGAATAATTTTCTGCTCAGAAGGAGCCAGCCCTGGGGGAACACCATGTGAGATTTCAATTCATCAGGGCTAGGTGCCAAGTAATAGTTCTAGCTGCCATTGGCCAGAAGTTCACAGGCAGGTTGCTTTGCCTCAAGGGTCTCAGTAAATATTAAACAACACACTGGATGACCCTGGACAAGCCACTGAAACAATTCACTAATAGGGTGACTCAACCATCAAGAAAGTAAGTGGTTTCTGGCTGGGCGCAGTGGCTCATGCCTGTAATCCTAAAACTTTGGGAGGCTGAGGTGTTTGGATCACTTGAGGTCAGGAGTTTGAGACCAGACTGGCCAACATGGTGAAATCCTGTCTCTAATAAAAATACAAAATTATCCAGGTGGGCCGGGCGCGGTGGTTCACGCCTGTAATCCCAGCACTTTGGGAGGCCGAGGTGGGTGGATCACGAGGTCAAGAGATCGAGACCAGCCTGGTCAACATGGTGAAACCTCGTCTCTACTAAAAATACAAAAAATTAGCTGGGCGTGGTGGCGCGTGCCTGTAATCCCAGCTACTCAGGAGGCTGAGGCAGGAGAATTGCCTGAACCCAGGAGGCAGAGGTTGCAGTGAGCCGAGATTGCGCCATTGCACTCCAGCCTGGGTAAGAAGAGCAAAACTCTGTCTCAAAAAAAAAAAAAAAAAAAAATTATCCAAGTGTGGTGGCATGTGCCTGTAGTCCCAGCTACTAAAACGGTTGAGGCAGAAGAATTGCTTAAACCCAGGAGTCAGAGGTTGCAGTGAGCTGAGATTATGCCATTGCACTCCAGCCTGGGCAACAAGAGTGAAACACCATCTAAAAACAAAACAAAACAAACAAACAAAAACAGAAAATAAAAGTAAGTGGTTTCATGCTCAGTGTGACCAGGTGTAAGTGTGACACAGAATGATTGTGGGAACAAAGGTACAAACAGAAATGTTTATTCCTGGAAAGGCCACTGCCTTAGGTTGAATTCCCTAGAAGTAGAGCCAGAGACAGAGATTCCTGTTTAAGAGATTTATTGGGAGAATGCTCTCCAGGGAAGAGAGAGGCAAGCAGCACGAGGCAGGGAGGAAAGCTGAGCCAGAGTGTGGTCCTGCTTCAGTCTGCTCCCACCGGTGTTCTGGAGCACACATTGTGCACATTCATTAGTCTCACCTAGGATAAGGGAGTGGGCCTTTTATACCTCCATGTCAATCAGTCATTGGCTGAGGTCCGTGGGCAGGTGAAGCAGGGGAAGGAGTGGGGTAGCCTCTCTGGTGAGGGTGGTACTTTTTGTTTTTGTTTTTGTTTTTGAGACAGAGTCTCACTTGTTGCCCAGGCTGGAGTGCAGTGGTGTGATCTCGGCTCACTGCAACCTCCATCTCCCAGGTTCAAGAAATGCTCATGCCTCAGCCTCCCGAGTAGCACTACAGGCATGTGCCACCATACCCAGTTAATTTTTATATTTTTAGTAGAGACGGGGTTTTGCCATGTTGCCATGTCTCGAACTCCTGATCTCAGGTGATCTGCTCATCTTGGCCTCCTAAAGGGCTGATGAAAGTGGTCTTGTTTGGCCCAGGGCAATTCTGTGCAAAAGAGGGCAGCAGAATTTGATCAGCAATACTCATATCTGTTGGCTGGGAAAAAGGAGCATGAACAGAATCCACCAGAGCTATCCTATGAGTAATAAATAGAAGTAGTATCTTCAGGTTTGTGGTGGATGGGAAATCATACAGAGGTAGATGGAAACAAAACAAAACAAAAACAAATGGGGGTCCTACCATTCATGGAGATTGAAAAGCAATTTGAAGGGAGTATATAATCAGCTCATAAACATCACTCATCATCCCAGTGACACACACTACAACTGCTTTCACCCTGCCACACATATTTATTAAATTTCACACTGCCAACAGAGAATTCATATCCTTAATAAGTAAAGAGCTCCTACAAATTGATAAAATTAAGACTCTGATAGTTACGTAAGTGGCAGATTTTAACCAACAATCCATTGAAGAGAAAATACAAATAGCTAACAGACATTAAAGCAATCATTCAACTTTGCTAATAATCAAAGACACACAAAGGAAGGAATATATTATACACTTTCACCTATGAAATTACAAATACTTTAAAATGAGAGCACACAAAACTGGCAAGGTTAAGGAGAGATGAGTGCTTGCTGCACAGTCGGCAGGAATATGGACTGGTCTTACTATTCTTGGAAAATAATTTTATAGTATGCTCATGGGATTTAAAAATGTTTAAACTCTCTGATTTGTACTTTTACTCCCAAGAATCATCCTAAGAAAATAATGCAAATGTTTCACTATCATCATATAATGTGATTGAGAAGTTGCTATACACTAGGCATTGTGCTAATTGCATTAAGATGTATTATTTGGTTTCATCCATAAGTTGCCTTATGAGGTATTTTCATGAAGTCTCTGTTTTTTTTTTTTTTTTTTTTTTTTTTTTTTTTTTTTTTTTTTTTTTTTAA